AATTTGATTTATTTGTTATTTCTATAATCTATTTTTACATAAAGTGTGTTTTCTTTTGTTGGTGTGATAAAATTAATTAATCATTAGGCTCTTTTTCTACTTCTGTGGCCTATAATCTTGCCTCGGGCACCAAAATAGTTAGTCACCTCTGTGTCAATCACACACACTTTCCTGTCCAACACATTTTTGTGAAATCCTGCTTAACTGCTAGTTAAGTTGTACTTTTATTCTTTTCCATCCTGCTCCCTAGTTAAGTTGTACTTTTATTCTTTTCAGTTTGATTACTTTCATTTTCTTGTGTCTCACCTTCTGTTTCTCCTCACAGGCTCCATTCCCTACTTTGTCTGTCCACGTCTCCAAGGTCCTGCCTTGTCCCCACCAACTGTGTTTCCCTCCACAGTGATCACCTGACCATCCTCACCTGTGTGTCGTTAACTCCTCCCCTGTCTGCAGACACAGCCCTCACTTCCTCTTTTTAGTTGCCAGTTTGTGTTGCCTAGAATGAACCAGTGATTTTTACAGTGACTTAAACACCAGTCGTATATTTTCTACATACAGGAAATAAATAATAAAATCACAGTAGTCTATGACTCACACTTCATACATGTCAAGATTCTCGCCTCGTTACACACCCTTGAACTAGCAAAATGAACAGAAAACAAACGTCTTTGGAAAGTTTCTTAGTTCAGGGTAAAAGAGCCAATGAGGAGAAGGAAGAAGAGTCTACGTCTTCAAAAAAAAAAAAAGCTGCATTTAATGGGTCCGTGGTGCCAGAAGTTTGGGGGCCGCTGCTGTATACAATCTAGTTCTCATACTAGACAGTTTGATGCATTAGTCGTGTTTTATATGAAGTTCAGTCAGGTTAATTTGGTTAAATTAGGTTGAAGACTCAGTTTGTTTCCATGAGCCACGGGTTGCAGACCCCTTCCATAGACACTGATCCCTGGTTGCTGTCAATTGGAGAACCAGGGATGAGTGTAAGTGGGCAAAGACTGGACTCATCTCTAGGTGATCTCAGCCTCTACAGGTTTCTTCAAATTCTTCTTCTCACACAGCAGGATAATTGGATCAGTAAACCCACAGTCTGTGGCTTTCAGCCTGAGGATCACTGGATACATTTAAGTCACTGTATATTATCTTTACCGGGGAAATGTCGAGGCGGCACGGCTCCAAATGGAATCAAAGAAATGGTCAGTCAGCTTTCTGTCAAATGAGAGCTGAAGATATTTCAATATCACGTTCTTAGTAAATGTACATTGTAGTGAATGCAGTAAATCTGCATAAATACACTGCAAGTGAAAGGTAAGCAAAATTTAGGATAAATAGATTTGCACTGATCTGATACTTGTTTAAATTTAATTTTCTTTAGAACATTCTTCTAAGCTTTACTTTGCATTTACATGAAACCGCATGGGACTCTGAGAGTGAATGAGGAGTCCAACAAAAGTAGTAGAAAGTAATGTTTTTCTGAAACATTACTTGTATTTTATTTATATCAGAATTTTCAGATTAAAATTATATTTGATTTCAGAGAATAATACCTGTTTTACACTCAATATTCTGCGTCAGTGGGAAGACGCCATTGTTAAAATAAAGTTAAGTCAAACCTAGCCTCATTTTGTGCTAATGTTCTGATGTCGATGTCTGTACTTTTTGTTCTCGTCAATATGAACGGTTCATAAAATCAGAGGAAAGGTGTTTTTTTTCCTGAGTATAGGAGGCAGAATGATGAAGAAAGACTCTAAACCGAGCATGGCTGCATATGCTCAGCCTAGCTGGAACTAAATACAGTGTATTTGTCATGATGAAACACATTATTATGAACTATTTTAGTTGTAAGTCTGTCTCTGTGTAATTTACCGCTCCGTGTCTTGGCCAGGAGACTCATAATTAGGAAGATTTTTGTTCCAATGATATTTCTTTTTCCTAGTTAAATAAAGATTTTGTTAAAAACGAAAAATAATTAAAAAGGGAAATCTAATATCAATAAAAATCCCACTTAAGGCACAAACCAAGTAGACCAATTAAATATGTTAGTTAAACCCTCCCAGAAGAAAATAGCTGTGAGTACAGATGGCGCTACAGGCAAACGATCCTTCATTTTCAACTCTTCTGTGTTCTCACTTTTATTTGATCACAAAGATTCAACATCTATTAAAATGCCATTACAAAAACTTTTCTTCTGTTAGTTTTATTAAACGCGAGTCCGTCCAAACTAACTATTGGTTCACAGTGACCTCTTGTGGAATAACTAAAAATAGAATATCTTTTAGGTTTGTAACGTCATTATTTCACAGAGATTTAATCTGTTTCACTGTAAAATTTAAAAAAAACATTCCTCCAAACCAAAGAGCAGAGGGTGTTCGACAGAAGAGCCTGCCCTTGAGAACACCAGCAGGTTAAAAAGTGAATGTGAACCTTACGTAAACATAAGAAAAATAATAAGAAAGAAAGACAAATAAGAATAGCTGTAGTAGACCTGCACCAGCAAAGACAGCAAGGAAAAATATTATATAAAATATTGACACTGATGACAAATATATATATAAACAAACGTGACATATTTAAAAGTGTTCACATCAACATCCATTCAGTTGTATAGTTCAGTCCATCCTTAACCCTCACTTCAACACTCATACTGTACATCTTTCACTTTAACCTGGGGCTCAGTAAAGAGGCTCTGCCTGACAAACTGAACAAGCACATCCTCGATTGTGGCTATCACATCCTATCACATCAGAAATGTGTGATGTCAAAATGGGGTCACAAGTCAAAAAAGGTTGGAAACCAGTGAGTTATGGAGTCCTTCACTTGGTTCAACCTGTGGCACAGCTGTTAACCAGCCAACTGTATTTCTTATGCACACATGTTCAAAAATGACATCATCTATTTCATCTATTTCTGTATTTCTCTAAATATACTGTGGTTTAATTTAAACTATACTAACACTGTAACCCAGTTGGGCTCATTCCCCAAATTTGCATATGTACAACAGTGATCACTCAGACCTGTATTAAAGAATGCCTTGTGACCTTCCATGTGGTTTGCAGGCTCCCCTCTGCAAAGCAGCGAGGACATACTAACTACTAACTTGACACCAACACCACCTGTGCCTGGTAGTCAGATGAACATTGCAACAGTAAAACACAGGATAAACCACGGGACACGACACATCTCTACAAGTCTGTTTTTATGGAGGAATAAAACTCTTAACTTGGCAAAGACACTGCCACTGGAGCTTTAAGATGTTTGTACACACAGACAGCGGGATGATTTAGTGCTCCATTAAAGTCCACACCATTCTAAAGCCGTAAAACGTAATTTAGATGTGTGTTTGTTTGGTTTCACGAGGAAGGAGGAGATGATGTCGACGATCTAAATATAATCCGCTTCGATAAACGATACGTTCGGCGAACAAGGTGACCTCATTTCATGACAAAAGTGACTCCAATTATAGATTTCAGGGAAAGAATTGCATGGAGGAGGTGGCCTTTTAAAGACACAAACAACACACAGGCCGCAGAAATAAATCCTTCACATCAGGTGCACTAAGACAGTGGACCCTAAAAAGGAATTTAAACAATTATATTATTATTATTATATAATTATTATTATTTAAACAAAAATAAATTTAGGTCAATGAGAATATATTGTAGTTATTTAATTATCCCCAGTATATAAAAAAAGAAAAATGAAACATCTAAAGATGAGAATTTATAGCCTATAGCCCAAAGAGCCCCACAGTGTTTATAGAAGAAGCCTATTTCCAGTCAATGCATTTAAATATAGTTCAAAGAGATGAGTCATTTTATGTGTTACTCTGTTTGTGACTCTGGGGTGACCCAAGTTAATGATTTGCATGCAATTTGTCCCATCAATCCTGGACAAGTCCTCCTGAACACCAACCACATGCCATTTCTGAGATGGTTGACATTTTGACTGCATGAGGTAATGAGCACAAGTTGGTTGTATACTACATGTGCACACTTAGCATGCTCAGTTGCAGCCACAGGTGGTAATGACTGTTTTTCTTTTTCTTTTGAAGAGTGTGGCCAGGAGGTCTGATGAAGTATCACCAGTGTGTGCACATCAGTGATATTCAAGATATATTTTTAGGTTATGTTTAAAAAGCCACAAATGTAAGGAATCTAAGATTTGTTCTACATTTTTATTTTTAGTATCTTTCAACAAATTCATTAGGTTCATTTTTTTAATTTAAAAAGATTAATAAATAAATAAATAAAGAACAGTCCATCTATAGCTATAAACTTCCACTGTTAAATTTTGGTCAGGATCAGGGTCAAGTCGTGAACTGCTGCGAATAACAGCAGCAAAAGAGAACAATCATTTACACCTATGGTCAGCTGAATTGTCTATTAACCTTAACCCCCAGCCTGCTTGTTTTTATAGTGTGACAAGGAACCAGAGCATCTGGAGAAAACCCACAAACACCTGACAATCTGTCCATGCCAAGAAATGAGTCAGTGATCTCCTCGTTGTAAGGTAAGCTAAGCTAAGAACCCCTCGGATATGTGCGCCAGCAGCACGTTGTGTGGCAGTCGGTTAAATATGCCGTGGGGGAAAGTTCTCCTGACTTCTGTTTCTCCTTAAGGGTGATTTGTGTGAGGCAGAACTGCTGTCCTGTTAAAATCAGAGATGACAGAACTCGCCCCCCTGTGGTTTAAAGTGGTACGGCACTGCTTGGTGGGAACCAAGGACACACGACCACAGGTTGATCACTACCTTGTCATGCTGAAAGGGCAAGGTAAAGTATGTGGTTATTTATAGATCACTGGTGTCAGAGAACTACTTTTTTGGTCATCCAACGTATCACTGATATTTAAAAATGAAATGAAGATGTAATTTATTTATTTGTTTTTTTTTATTAAAAAAGATCATTAAAAGATACAAGACTAAAATATATTTTTAACACCAAATTCTGGTGTGGAAAAAAAGCATTAACCATTTAAATTGAGCTCAATTACTAGAGAGACCATTGCAACTTTACACCATTTTGTGGTGGAAACCCTATTGACAGAAAGATAAAGGGCCTTCTGTGGCACCCATTCCTTCAGCCGTGGCACAGCCATTCCTTTGCCACATTTAGAAAATGTCTTTCATGGTTACCTAATGCACCTTGTGACTTAGTGACAAGGCTATGCAAGAGCCATACATCATAGACAAGTAGTTCTTTTTGACCATTTCCTAATTAATCTACAAAGTGTTGTATGTTAGTTATCATGCATGCTGATAATATATACTTTACTGTAAATTAAATAGAATATAAATATAAATATAACATGGATGTTTGGTTCAATTGTGTATTTCTTTAAGGAACATCATTCCTTGTATTTGATAAATGTGATGACTCTATAGATAATGCAGGATATTAAATTAAGTTTGTGTACAAACTCAAGATTAGGTGCAGCTCCCTCATCTGTGAATATCCTCTATTAAAAGGGGCAATCAATTTGGTAAAATCTCTAGTCCTTTATATTTCATTCTATTAGTGCTGACTAACTTGCACTGCTGTATTGCTCATATATGCTTGATTGAGATAACTTGTTAAATAATTAGCATTACAGATAAATGATATATGATAGTTATTAAAGTCTCAAGGTTATGTGTTTTTTAACTGTCTCTGCAAGAAATCATCAATTTTTTGGACATGGAGTTCAAATTTTCCTCACAGTCTTTAGTAAGATTCCCACGGGCCATCCAAAAACACACCATTACCATTAGGGGTGAAAATGGAGCAAGTTCAAAAACAGGGTGACGAACAAGGCGCTTTGCAGAGGTGTTGAAAGATGAGTTAGTAGTGAGCAGTGTTGGAGGTGATGTCATGCACATGCCTGTTCCCATCAATGCATTGGAAAGGTGACAACATTGACAGTGAAAATGGCGTATTGATGACCAGGGGAGGGCAACACCATGTATAAAAGGGAGAAGACGCAGGAGCCAAAAAGACTGATCACCAAGTTTGAGTTTACTTCACTAATGCAGTTTCACAGCAAATACTGCTAACCTTTTTTGGATTTACGGACAGATAAAATGGTAAGGATGACTTTCAACTGGATCAGTGTTTAATTTAATTCAAATATGCAGAGACCAAAAAGATTGTAACTACTCTTGTTACTGTTATTTTTTAGTTACTGAAGATGTTTTCATTGAAGTACTTGGTTCTGATCATTTCCCTCACCGCTTTGCACACATTGGCAAAGCCACTGAGGTAAAAACTGTTATTCGCTAAATTAAAGGATTTTCAGGGTGGAAATATGTCATGACAAATATAAAATCAATCAAAGGCCTTGACAAAATTAACCATGCCTTTTAATTTTTCAGAAAGAGAACCATAAGCGAGGTGCAGCTTATGCACAATGTCCGGGAACACAAACAAGTTGGTGAAAGACAAGACTGGCTGCAGGAAAAGTTAAAGGACATCATTGTCTCCAGTGCCAAACCACAACATGGACGTGCAACAGGGAATATAAAAAATCTTTTTCCAAATGATGTTCTTGGACTAGACATTTGGAAACACTGAACTGCCTGTTTCTGCCAAACTGAAACCAAGTTCAACAAGAACCCAAAAACAAATTTGCTTTGTTTTTTATTTTATTTATTTATTTATTAATGTATATTGATAATTCATTTTTTATCCATTGCATATTTTGTGTTATTTGCTGTATTTTTTGAATGTGTATGGGGACCAAACAAACTCTGTCTTATAGATATATATATATATATATCTTTTTAACTATGTAATTAATGGGATTTTTGAGTAAATCATATTTATTTCAATATTTTAAAATAAAGTCATATGTCATATTTATGCAGGTAGACCTGGCTTCATATTAATAAATTCTTATATTAAAAAAGGATTGCCTAGTGAAATACCGCAGACTTTATATATGGAATGAAAACCATTATGTCATAAAAATATTCCTTACTGGATCTATCTGTAAATCAAAATTACTTTTTATACTTGATAAACTTATGCCTAATATAATACATGAAAACTACCACCTATAATTCGATGTGGCCTTTGGTTTTACGTTTTTTTATCATAATAGTTTGCGCCTGTAATTGAGGTAATGTTTGTTTTATAGTACTATTTATGAACTAGTAAGTTTGTTTTTCCCAGAGACATGACGTGTCGTAATTTCCACTAAGTTGTTTAATTATACTATTTAATTATGTCTTTATTTGGATATAGTTTCCCTAACAGTAGCATTAAGTCTAATAAAGTTTTAATAACGTTTTAATAACACCATATGCTTCTGAAAACATCGATAGTAATAAAAAAAATAGGAGCAATACGCACCATGGATCACGTGACAGGTATAACTGCGCTTTAACGTGAGGACGTACGGACGTCAGTACGTAACAGACGTCACGTTGGACGTCATTAGTGAGGTGTTTTGAAAGGAGAAGGCTGTTAAACTGCTGAGCGTCTGGAATTTAAACGTCAGCTGAAAAACTCAAAGGTAACTGTATTGTATTTATGATGAGTTTCTTACCCGGGGTTAGTGTGATTACAATAAATAACGTTGATATGGCACAATGTTGTAACGGATTTGTGTCAAAATCCGTTGAGAACGAATTAGCATTGTGCTATTAGCACTAGCTAAGGTTACCTATGTGGCTATGCTAACATAGCTCCCTAGCTTTTCATGATGACTCAGACCCAGACCGACAGCACAACGGTGTCAGTACATTGTTCTGAGACTTCATGTGAAGCCTTTTAATTAAAACAGTTTCGTAACTGTGCTCACCGTTCCTCGACATAAACGCGTGAAATTTATCACGCATTGTGTACGTTGGCATCTGTCTCTTTGTCTTATACTGTGACTGTGTTCCAATGATGTAAATGACTTGTTGAGTTTTTGCAATTGACCAGATTATGAACGACAAATTAGCGGACTTCCACCTGTACGGGTGATGGCAACACGTCTGCAGTCCTATGACAGCAACTCCAGTGACACAGAAAACTGGGAACGAAAAACCCAAAGCCGACCTCGTAAATTCTACAAGCGTACGAGGTGAGGCAACTGTAAACCTGTTTGTCCTCATCTGTCAGTCACTGCTATTCAAGAGTGTCAGCCTGTGACATTGTGTTTGGTTGTTGTTTTATGAAAACAACAACAGTTAGAATAGGATATATGGTAAAAAAAAAAACTAATTATACAGTACTGACAACGTTTTTGCACAAATATATATTTAAAAGTAAATATAATGTGAGGAGACCAAAGAAAATAGCGTAAACAAAAAATAAAAATATTTTGGCATGGTAAAGCACTTGAACATGGGTTTAATTTTCCCTCACATTTTTTCAGTGACAGGAGCTGTATGTAGTCAACCTTTACAGACCTTTGCTTTACTACAGAACATGGTTATAAGTGTCTGCCTATATTCTGATACATACATTCCTTTTGTCATCAGTGTATTCTGTAATCCCACACCTAAAGTACTGTTACAGCAATGCATTTTCATAAACACACCCTGTAGAGTCTTTGGCCCTGGCTGTATTTGTTCCTAGCATCTTCTCAAATATTACTGCAGTGACAGTTTGCCAGGTGGCTTCTCATATTTCTTGTCTCTCTTCTTTCTGTTCTGGTATGCTGGAGCTGAAGCAGCACTTTAGTTTTTGCAGAAAAGATCCATCGTTTAATATTTTCATTGATCTGAGTGAATGTCATAATTATGTTTTTGTGAAACCAGGAAAAAGGTATCTATAATGGTTGGCAGTGGATAGATGGTGTTGTGAATTGATTATCTGCGTTAGCATGTCATAAAAATTCTTCTAAAAGTTTAATTCAACTACATGAACTTTTGGTAGTCTTTAAATTTTAATGGTTTGTTCTCAAGAATTAAAAATTGCCGATTGATTTTTGTTTAACAAGATCTGATGTAAGCACCAAGCCGCCTGGAACTCTATACAAACACCACTTCATTATTCATTCTTTGCTGTCTGATGCACCACCATCAGAGTGCCCAGGTCTTGTTGGAGGGAAAGTAATAGTGATTACTTCTTTCCGTTTGATAAGCAGCAGTCAGGTCAGAGCATCTCGAGCGGAGGCAGAACAGAGGAAGATGAGTTTGCATGGTGCTAGTGGGGGCTGTGACCGTTCACGTGACAGACGCCGCTCCAGCGATCGCTCCAGGGACTCTTCGCACGAGAGAGAAGGCCAGCTCACCCCCTGCATTCGTAACGTCACCTCACCCACCCGGCAGCACATCAGTGGTGAGCATGCACGGGGAGAACAGGGGGCTTATATGGATGTCATCGCAGTAGAGGTCTGTGGCTTTTGGCAGCCGATGTCTGTGACAGCTGACTGCATTTATCATCTCACGATCCAGAGATGGTTGACATTTCTGCTGTTTTTGGCCGTTAACAGATCAAGTTAGCAATAATTCTGTTTAGAAGGAGGTTGGTTGTTTTTTTTTGTTTTATTTTGTAATCGGCATTTATTAATGTTTCTTTTGTCTCTTTTTACTGCTTTTGCATTTTATTGCACATTTAAATGTCTTTATCCATCTATATTTATTTTTTATGCATACAGCATTATTGCTGCCAAGATCTGAAAATAATCTTGTCATTTAATTTGCCTATTTTTTTTTTCTGTGTAGACCGTGACAGAGATGGTGGGCCATCTTCACGGTCCACTAGTCCACGACCTCAAAGGGTCTCACCCACCGGCTCCAGCAGCAGTGGGGTGGTGAGCAGTCGCAATAGCAGCCTATCTAGTTCTGATGGCGCCTTCAAGAGTCTGGGAGTCGGAGAAATGGTGTTTGTCTACGAGAATCCCAAAGAGGGCGGAGCCAGTTCCACCGTGGGGACCCGGAACCTACGTACCTCAGAAAGAGTCACTCTCATCGTTGACAATACACGCTTTGTAGTAGATCCTTCTATTTTCACTGCACAACCCAATACAATGCTGGGCAGGTAGGGTGCCCTCATCCATCATTTTTCAGTTTTTTTGTTCTTTTTTTACTCAATTATTTTCTCATTCACAGACACTACAGTTTAGTTTAAGGTTTTATCTCTGTATCATCTAATAATCAACACTACTTTCTAGAATGTTCGGCTCAGGACGTGAACATAACTTCACTCGGCCCAATGAAAAAGGAGAGTTCGAGGTGGCCGAGGGCATCAGTTCAACAGTGTTTCGAGCCATTCTGGTCAGTCTGTTTCCCATATATACATTTATTGGTTGAAGCTGAACATTTTTATTAATGTGAAAAACATTAGCCTTTCTTAACAGTAAATACTGTTTTATTTGTATAAATGTTTAACAAATGTAAACAGCTTGACATTGTGTTCTGTGCCCAATTGGCAGGATTACTACAAATCTGGGATAATCCGGTGTCCAGATGGAATCTCCATCCCAGAGTTACGGGAAGCGTGTGACTATCTATGCATCTCTTTTGACTACAGCACCATTAAATGCAGAGACCTCAGTGAGTACTTTCTTTGAGAGCAGAAATGGACATTTAGTCGTTTTTATCCCTGTGAATTATCGTTGCACTTATGTCAGCATGAGCATTAGATTATGGAGAGTTGTGGTGAGTGAACCATCATAATCTGATGTCAGTCTTCTAAGGCATGCTCTCAATCTCTCTCTCTCTCTCTCTCTCTCTCTCTCTCTCTCTCTCTCTCTGTGTGTGTGTGTGTGACAGGTGCCCTGATGCACGAACTGTCCAATGACGGAGCTCGGCGACAGTTTGAGTTTTACCTGGAGGAAATGGTTTTGCCATTGATGGTAGCCAGTGCCCAGAGTGGAGAGAGGGAATGTCACATTGTTGTCCTTACTGATGATGATGTCGTGGACTGGGATGAAGAATATCCACCTCAAATGGGAGAAGAATATTCACAAAGTGAGTGCAGGAAGTCTCATAGCCTTGTGTGAATTACTCAGTTATTATGTGGTAAACAATGTTCTCATCTCTGTCTTTACAGTCATCTACAGCACAAAACTGTACAGATTTTTCAAGTATATTGAAAACAGAGATGTTGCCAAGTCAGTGTTGAAGGAGAGAGGGTTGAAGAAAATACGACTGGGCATAGAAGGTAAGTGTTGTTTTCTGGAAAATGGCCATGTATTACATTAGAAAATTAAATACTCTTCATATCAGAACAGCTTCTTGACATGTGTTTGATTCCCCCAGGTTACCCGACATATAAAGAAAAGGTTAAGAAACGACCAGGGGGTCGCCCGGAGGTCATTTACAACTACGTCCAGAGACCCTTTATCCGCATGTCCTGGGAGAAAGAGGAGGGTAAAAGCCGGCACGTGGACTTCCAGTGCGTCAAGTCCAAGTCCATCACCAACCTGGCGGCAGCAGCAGCAGACATCCCCCAGGATCAGCTGGTGGTCATGCACCCGGGGCCTCAGGTGGATGAACTGGACATCCTGCCCAATCACCCACCGAGTGGGAACCACTACAGCAACAACTACAACAACGAGCCTGACCCTGACGCACCTTCACCTGCTGTCTGAGGACACACACACACTCGTCTTCTCTCTATGCCTCCGCTCCTTTCCTCCTCCTCTAGTCCTCCTCCCAGCATGCTGCAGCGCGGAGCACCAGGGGCACCATAACCATATTGCCTTGACACCTCCTTTGCGGCCTTAGAGCCTCAAGAACCTGGAAGATTATTGAAGAAGAAACATGAGGGATATGAGACTGGTGGAAGGAAAATGTTCACTTATATTTACAATTTGTTTTTTACTCAACCAAAGGAATTTATTTTTCTGTTTGGGGGATGGAGTCATTAAATACAATTCTAACATATTATTTACACTGTTATTTTACACTTATTGGTTATGTTTGGCTGAGCACTTGTATTTCTTCCTAGTAGGTTTTTATTTACACTGATAACAATGATTGTTTTATTGTTTTAGTTTTATTTACACTGATAACAATGATTGTCTAGGGTTTGCCTAACTATATAAATGTGTTTATTTTTAGGGTGGGGAGGGTCAGCCTCACTTACATCCTGGTCATGAAGAAAATCAGTAAAAGTCCTGTCTGATGTCTTTATTTTTTACCATGGAATGTTTGTGTGAGTTTGTGTGTGTTTGTTTGCGAGTGTGGTGTTTGACTGGATTCTGTATGTGATGTTACGCTCCAGCCATCGCAGCCATGATCCACAGCAGAGCACGGGCTACTATGGTCAAAATCTTTTTGTGCAAAGCTTGAAATTGTTGTTTAAAATTTAAGCCTAAACCGTAAAATAAAGATGTCAAAACCAAGTCCATGTTTGTGTTTCTGTTTTATAATAGGTCAAGTAAATATGTACCAACAATGTTTTATATACTGGCTATAAAACAGGAGTACTGGTACTGAATCAGACTGATGCATGAGCCTTTTTGTATTGTTTGTTTAGTATCAGTTCATTTTAGTTTCTTTTTGAAAGTGTGTTTTTGCAGTATTGGTAAGTCAGGGTCAATTTAAAAAAAACGAACAACAACTCAGTCATTTTGCAATGATGAGATAAAACTGATTCATACTGACATTCTTCATTATTGTCATCGTCATCATTTGCATAAGACTTCCGCATCTCCATGCATTTTTCGTTCCCTTCATATTGGCCACATGTTGGCAGTAGTGTGCAGCAAACTGATTTGGTACCTTTGTGCGGAGCATTGATTTAGCTTTTGTCAGCACTAGGGTGAAAAGGGTATATAAAAATAAAGCATAAAGTGATGGACTAAAAAGGACATTTTAATTTAAAGTATCTGTACATTAACAGTCGACAGTTAAACTGAAACTTTTCTAAACAGGAGGACATTTGGAGATTAAATATAAAAACATTTTTAGTGTGGTGAAGTGGTGAAAATACATAACACAGTAGTAGCACTTTTTCTTTACAAAAAAACTTAAGAATGCATTTTTTGATTACTTGAAAAACAAAATAATTCAGACGCTAGCTAGGCTGTGCATTAGCAATGCTAGTAAACAACTATAAACAAAAGATGACTTTTATAACATAAAATGACTAAATAACATCAACAACAATAGTAATAATAATAGTAGTAGTAGTAGTAGACACATATCACCATGACAAAGTGTGTATGGACAGGGAAACTACAGTAAGTCTGTGTCTCCTGCCTTCTCTCTGCTACTAAACTACTCAAAAATTCGAGCCAACGTCAAATATTTTACCAAACGTAAACAAAAAAACTTTAAAAATTATAGAAGCTTTGTGAAAACCTTTATTTCCTTTCCACAATAATATATGAAAAGGAAATTTATTTCAGGCAAAGAAAGGCCGTGACCTGGTGCAAAAGACATCTAACAGAATCTACAGAGGAGAAATTCTCTGATACTGATGGCACTAGTTAAAGTGTTAAGACTTAAATAGAGGATATGTAGAGAAATATCTTTGCTATTCTTGTTAATGTGTGTTTCTTTATGTCTCGGAGTTTTTTGACCCAGACCTGTATGTGTTAAGTGGGTTTACATGTTCCTCTTGTTGAACAGATGGGTGACAACAGGCTCAGGTATCATTTAATTCAATTTCACTCAGACCGAAAAATGTTAACATGCAACGTTACACTCTGTACTGGATCGACCATCTGCTCCTACACCACAGATTGGACTTGAACATCACTTTATTATGGTAGAAATAAGGTGTCATGACGGCAGTGGCATTCAAAACTTACACAGAAATACTGTGTAAAGAATCGTTACAATAGTTACAATAACATGTATGGAATACAATTTGGGATTCTGTGAAATGTAGGTGTGTTAGTTAGTTAGTTAGTCAGTGTTCTGTGATTGACACTGAAAAGGCTCTCTGTTTCGTTGATGCCACATTATTTGAATTTTGAAATGTTGTTTTGTTCTTTTTACACTTGGATTATGATTATGATTGGAGCTTAGCTGTCTGAGCTAGAGCCTCCAACACGGGTGTAACCTACAGAAACGTGAAATCACATTTAATAGTTTGGACACTTGATCTCTATCAAAACAAAAAACTGAGACTCCTGTATAGATATACGGATTAGTCACACCTGAGTCAGGTGACTCACAGAAGCAAATACTGTACTGAGTCATCATTCTTTTTGAATCTCCTCTTACTGTAATACAGGAACTAAACCATACACAGGCCTTAACGGAACAGAATCAAATCAAAACACAATTTAATACTAATATCCACAGAGTCATTATTCTAGTCTGCTTTGACATTTCAGATTTAAAAGACTGAAATCCCTAAGATGTATGTTTCATGTATTTGAGACAATGGGGGGGGCATTGTTATAAACACTGAACTCCAGTTGCCATGCTGTTTATTGCATACAGTTACTGTAGATAAGAGGAGAGTGGTCACATGACTGAGGCACCTATAGATAAGGTAGCAACTGTAAAATCAAATACAATTTAGTTGATTGAATTAAGCTGTCCTCTCTGAGACCCTTCACCTCTGTGTAACAGACAAAAGGCAGACTCACAGGCGGTAGGTCGGAGAAGTCTGACATGGTGAGAATGACCAGATGTTGGAAGGAGGATGGTGAAGACAAGGAGAGAACAAAGAAGGAACTAATGGATCATAGATCAACAGAGGTTGACTGTTATGTTTGTAGGTACAGTGAAACATCAAAGGACCAACCCTCAATAAATCACAAGTCACAAGTCCCACAGAGCAGAAACCCTGGAGGACATGGGACAGACAGGAACAGATACAGAGGAGATGGAAACCTACCTGGAGTGAAGGACCGTGGCACAGACATGACCAAGAAACCATGATGACAATGAGCCAACAAAGACACACAGGCAGGCACACTGGGAGAGAGTTCTACCCAGAGCACCAGGTGACACCAGTGAGACTGATTACCAGAGGATCACAGGACACAGGTGAATGTGATGGAACTAATGAACCCAGAGGAGAGACAGGAGGCAGACATGAGACTGATGAATATATTAAGATAGTTGGTCCAAAAACAAGGACTGAAGTCAAATGGAGGCATAAGATCCCCTAGTGGTGACCCCGGAAGATGTAAAAAAATATATATATACAGTTAGTGATAAAGAAGATACAAAAAAACCCACTACATACAATTGTAACACAGAGTCTTCAAATATCAACAATATAAGGTGACAGTCTAAGCTGTATTTTTTCCCAACGCCAATTGTGCCGCAGTAATTTTAGACAGTGAAGACACAGCTCTCAGATGTAATTTAACAAGTCTCCAAAAGGAATCTAAGGTTGCATTGATATTTTATACAGTTCACTATTAGAATAGAGATGTGGCCAATCTGATACTCAGTATTCATGCTGGTCATGTACAGTACTGCTGACGTGTAACCGGAAGGTGAGTGAGACACGGCAGTTATCGTTGTCAGCTGTGAGTAAGGACAGAAAATAAGACCAAATAAATGTTACAATTGTTACACAATAAATAGTTAAAACATGTTACATGTCAACATGTAAATATAAATATAATCAGTGAAGAAAATAATTCATGATTCCAGAGGGATTTTAAACTTAATTATTATTAATGTGGACATGTACAATATACAGACTGTTCAACATTAAAAATGGCCGCTGCCACATTACAGTAGGCTACTGTCTGCATCTGAAGCTGCAACACGATCAGACACTTGACATATCCCTGCTCTGTGTGTGTGCGCGCGCGCACGCACGTGTTTGTTTGTCTCTACAGGAGAAAATTGTGTGACCCACAAAGGTGCTGCAACACAATCCACTGTCATTGTGTGTGAGAGAGCAAACTTTCCCATTAGCTGATAAGGAGGGAGGAAGGGTGTCACAGAAATTATCCCAGAGATGATTTTTTTTTGCCCAGAGCAAAGTCCCTTCACTTTTGTGGAGAGGAGGATAATTCAGTGCATTTTCAAAAACACCCAGACGTCTTCATGTGTTGTTCAGTAACTGATACGGCAAACACACCCATGAAATCCTCTGTTGTTGCAGGATAAGAGAATATGTCTCTGTGTTAGAGCAGATAACTGAGCCAACGTGCTGAAATGCTAAATGCTTCCACCAATCCTTTCTTCTCACAAGGGCGTGACCCCCTTTTCTTCCACAGACCACCTGAAGCTGTTGATCATTATTCTCCTTTATCCCGGAACAGTCACACTTTCTTCAGATCACCACTCCACCAAGTCAAGTCAGTCCAGGCAGAGAGAGGAGCTGTAGAAGAACAACTGAGTGGGTTTGATGGAAAATGGATTAAAAGCCCTTTGCCCTCACATTAGTCAGTAAACCCATCCTCACTTAGCAATACTGCCACCTAGTCCCTGCTGATGACCACAGCACTATTTATGGTTGTCAAAATGACTGACTTATCTCTTCAGATAATCACTGCATTCCTGGCCTTTGAATATGCGTAGATAAGGAACGCATTAAAAGAGTCGTCAGATGTTGACGTCAGTCCAGGGTCTGTGATTCCAACGCTAGTTCAGTGGTGACAGTGGTGGCTAAGGAAGTGGACGATGGTCAGGACACACTGCTCCCCGGGCGCTCAAAGCTGCCCACTGTTCACTTTGGTGATGGGTTAAAAGCAGAGGTCACATTTGGTTGTGTGCAGTGGTGAGCTGTGTTCACTTTCCTTCTTCCAAAAACTAACAAAATGACATCTTTAGTGACATGCTGTCATTTCAGGGCCGTTCTCTTGATCATGATCTGATTTGTAACTAGACTCCGTTGTCACATATTTTATACAGTTCGATGCAACACCCTTTCACATCAGATAAGCGGCTTCATGTTTCTTTGTCTTGTGATTTTTCTTGTTTGATTTTGAATCTCTCCTCCCTTGTCCACCTCCTGTAAAACAAACCTGCTTTGATTCCTGGTTCGTCCACATTAAACTACCTTAAACCACTTCTCTGGCCTGCATTTTGAATCCTTCTTCCTCAGACTTTGTTACCACATTTAACAGCGTTGTGCAGCCCTCTCCTCCTCTCTTTGACTTTTGGTTTGAAGACCCTCAGAGCCCACTCAGGGCAGTTATTAGAGAGTAATGAGCCTGTTAGTGCCAGATCTGCGCTCCGTCTGGTTCTACAGGAGGTGACAGGCCTTTAGTGTCTGACAGAGAGTCAGTACTGTACCCTGCAGATGAGGTCCAGGGGTCAGGACTGGGACTGACAGGATTACCACACCTGCCGTGAGCACAATGAGCCGTAATGAGCACACAGTGCCGGGGCCACTCTGTTAACAGCAGGCTAAGAGCTTTCTGGAAGTCTCACACCTCAGCGCTGGTATTGAAGTCCTGGCTCCACGGTCAATACCTTCATCAGACTTTTCATGGCTGACTGGTCTCTGAGGCCAAACAAAGGCTTTCCAGGAACATGGAGTGAGAGACACATTCCAGGGATTAGTCTGTTATTTAAATCAGTTTGTTTCTCTGTGGAAATGTAAAGACTGTGTTATGTTCAGCCTTATAGAGAAAACAGACCAGTATTCCTTATATGAGTTATGGTGAGGTGACTGTTTATCAGCAGGCTGTGTCCTCTCTGGGACAGGGACAGAGTTTTCTTTGGAGTGAACTGAGGGGACATAATGATTTAGTCCCACTGCAGGAAGTCTTGAAGAGTGGGAGTCAGAGATCAACGGTCACCTTCATGACCCCCCAGCCCCCGGTGGACACAGAGGGCAGTACCGCTTCAGTAATTTTAACCTCTAATAACCTGACCTTTAAATCCTGTGATAACCCCTCGAACAAAAGATGGTGACCTTTTCTTCAGTACGTTCAAAAATGCTCGAAAATTCTGATAAGAGAAGGAATGTTTAAAAAATGTAAAATACGTTTGAAAGAAATGTATTTTCTAACTGAAGCTCATACATATAAAGACAATTCCAACCAATGACTG